CCTTTGGTTAGTTTCTGAGAAGGGGAGGATTTAAGCTTTTTTTCAGTCATTTAAGACTATTGTATTGCTGGGTTGTAGTGTCCAACACCTTTAATCCCAGCACTTGGGAGGCAGAGGTAGGCAGATCTCTGTGAGTTCAAGGCTAGCCTGGTCTACAGAGTGAGTTCCAGGATAACCAGGGTTGTTACACAAAGAAACCCTGTCTTGAAAACCAAAAAAGAGAGAGAGAGAGAGACTATAGTACTTTAAAATACACATTTTTGTTATGTTAGCATTTTTTATATTCAACTAGTCAAAATATTAAAACTGGATTTTAATTTTGTAATGTTGATGTGGAATATATTTTTACTTATTTAATAAATAAATTTATAATATTTACCATGTGCTGCTTGTTCTAAGTACTTTAAAATTATACTAGTTAATTTTTATAATTCTATGAGGTAAGCTCTGTCTTTCACACTACAACACTTTTGTTCTCTTCTCCCGCACTGTGGAATCTCTTCGTATAGCCTAGACTGACCTGGAATCTTCTGTAGCTTCCTCAGTGCTGGGATTGTAGACATGATTGTAGACAGAAGGATTCTGGCTTTATTGTCTTATTTTATCGTTAAGGAACTGAAGTATAGTTAGGAAAAGTAAGGGGTTCTAGTTCTTAAGAAACAAGAGTCCGTAGTAGCATTTGTAGCCTTCTGTTAGTGAATCCTTTCGAAGCGGGGTTCAAGTCTCAATCTTTGTGCTGACATGCCTTGTTTTATTGTGCTTCAGAGTACTGTGGGTTGTTTTTGTTGTTGTTTTATTTGTTTTGTGTTTTAGAGACTTTGAGTAGTTCATGTCTGTAGTCCAGCAGCTTCGGAAAAGTCTCAGCCTACGAGTTCAAAACCAGCCTTGGCAATGTAGTGAGAATTCATCCCACAAAATAAAATGAGATACTCTAAAGTAAAACAAAATAAAATAGTAAATAAAATTTAATGAAAGGTTTGTGATAGCCAAATAAATTACTTGGTATTATTTGTCTAGAGTCTTGCTGCTTTGTGTCTCACTTTTTTTTGTTTGTTTTTTAAGACAGGGTTTCTCTGTGTAACAGCCCTGGCTGTGCTGGAACTTGCTGGTCTAAGAACTCACAGAGATCCACCTGCTTGAGATTAAAGGCGTGTACCACCACCGCCTGTCTCAGTCATATTTTAATACTTCTTGAAGTATTGACAACTTTCCAATTATTGTTTATATATATATTGCTCTGTAGCCATTGTTCCTTCATGGTACTATTATATCTGCTACGAAGTACCATAAACTGTACCCACATCAAGTAGAGAATTTAATAACTGTTCTGTGTGTTCTGACTCTTCAACTGCTCTACTGATCAGCTGATGCCAGACTTTTTCATTCTCTGCCTCCCTGCTCCAACTGTATTGAAATCAGCTACTTGAAAGGGAGAGTTGCATGTGTTTCACTTGAAGGCAAAAGCTAGCAATGATTAAGGTTAGTGGGGAAGGCATCTTGAAAGATAGCATTTGTGCCAAACAGCCAAGCTGTGACTAAAAGGAAAAGCTGGTGAAGGAAATTTAAAATTGCCACTTCAGGGACACAGATGATAGGAGAAAGGGAAGGCACAAAAGTTTCCATTGTCTGCATAGATCAAATCTGAATTGCCTTCATCCAGAGCCTTATCCACAGCAACACCCTACTTCCTTCAGTTCTGAACACCGGCAGAGGTGAAAAAACTACAGAAGGAAAATTTTAAGCCAGCTAGTTAGCTCCTGAATTTCAAGAAGAAAGCATCTTTATGTTAATAAAAGAGAGTGTCCAAGAAAGCAGCAAAGCCCCAGGGGAACCTACAGTATGCTCTTCAGAAGGTAGAGCTGAGATCACTGAAGAAGGCGGCCACAGTGACAGACTTTTGAGGCAAACAAAAAGCCTTATATTGGAGGACCCTAAGTTTAGTTCCTGTGTAGCTGGAGAGGTCAGACGGACTTGTTTAGAGACCACTGCAGATGGTGACCTTAAGTTGAAGTGAATAATCGCTTACCATTCTAAAAGTCCTGGGCCTTTAAGAGTTACCTTATGTCTGTTTTGCTTTTTGTGGAGAGCTCTAAGTGAAGCAACAAAAAGCATTCGAGTATTTCCAACTTACTGTTCGGATTTATTGTTCAGAAAAACAGATTTCTTTGACAATATTACTGCTTAGACCGAGATATAGTGGTGTATATCTGTATTTATAGCACTTGGCAGGTAGAGGCAGGAGGAGGGGGACTTTGCGGCCAGTCTGGGTTACTTGACAGGACCTAATCTAAACAAATAAACAAACATGCAAAAAACTAAATATATATATATTATATTATATTGTGCCTATATATAGGCACAAGCACATCCATAAGGATGGATGGATAAGTAAATACATAGGATTGCTGTGCTTGTCCACAGGTCATCTAAGAGCTCTGAGAGTTGTAAACAAGATTTTACTTTTTTCCATAATGCTAAGGTAATACTCACTTTGCAGCGTATACATTCGGGAATAATTTTTATTTTCAGGGCTTCTAATTTAAGAAGTGCATTTTTTAAAGGCCATATCTGCTATAATTAAATTCCCCTGGTGAATTTGAATAAAATAAAATGAATATTTTCTGTGAAGGATTCATTATTCTATGCCTTAATACTTTTTTCCTAATGGGATTACATTGATGCAACGAATTATTTTTTTTTTCCCCTCAAGACAGGGTTTCTCTGTAGCTTTGGAGTCTGCCCTGGAAATAGCTCTTGTAGACCAGGCTGGCCTCGAACTTACAGAGATTGACCTGCCTCTGCCTCCCGAGTGATAGGATTAAAGGCATTCGCTACCACTGCCTGGCCTTGGTTTTGGATTTTCAAGACAGGGTTTCTCTGTGTATTAGCCCTGACTGTCCTGGAACTCACTCTGTTACCATGCTGGCCTTGAACTCACAGAGATTGGCCTCCCTCTGGGATTAAAGGCATGTGCCCCCTCAACTGCTAATTTTTTGTTTTTTAAAGAAATTTCCAGTCAGCAACCATTATTCCGATCATATTTTCTCATGTGCTAAGCAAAGTTTCTACCACTGAGCTGCACACATAGCCCGTAAGAGCCTGTGTTCTAGATGACACTAAGAACATCTGTATGGAATGGAGACCCAGAGGTTAAGAACACATATTGTTCTTTTAGAGTTTTTTCTTTTCGGTTTTTCGAGATCAGGTTTCTCTGTAGCTTTGGAGCCTGTCTTAGAACTCACATTGTAGACCAGGCTGGCCTCAAACTCACAGAGATCCACCTGCCTCTGCCTCCCGAGTGCTGGGATTAAAGGTGTGCGCCACCACCACCACCACCACCGGTGTGATTCTTAACCTGTGGGTTGTGATCACGTTGGGGTTATAGGGTCGCCTAAGACCATCAGAAAACACAGATATTTACATTACAATTCATAACAGTAGCAAAGTTAGAATTATAATTTATCAACAAAAATAATTTTATGGTTGTTTACAACATGAGGAGCTGTATTAAAGGGTCACAGTGTTAAGAAGGTCCTCAACCACTGCTTTAGAGGATCCCAGTTCAATTCCTAGCACCCATGTCATGTGGCTCACAGCCTCCTAAATCTCTACCTCCTTGGGAATTCAATGCCTCTTGTCTCTGCGCGTGTGCACACATACACATGCAGTGCACACATTTATACACCCACACATACACACACATTAAGAAATAAACATTTGTAGCTGGGTGTGGTGGCACATGGTTGTAATCCCAGCACTTAGGACATTGAGGTAAGAAGATGGGGAGTTTGAGGCCAGCGTGGGCTACCTAGGGTCCGTCCATTTAAAACAAACCCAAAGAATATTCGGGACTTTGGGAGGTCAGCTCTCATACATTCTAGGCAAGCGCTCTACTACTGTACTACATCCCTAGTCCTTCTCATTTTATTTTGAGACAAGGTCTTGCCAAGCTGGCCAGACTGGCCTCAAACTTGTGATCTTCCTTCTTGACCCTCCCAGCATGCTGGGATTGTAGGTATGGACTACCATAGATGGCTTATTTTGAAATATTAGTTTCTTGAGTTTAGCTATTAAATTAAAAATATACAATCAATACAAAATATTATACTTGTGATTGAAATCATTCTGATAGTTTCTCAAAAGTTGAAGCAAATTATCATATGATTTAACTCTTCTACTTATACATACACAGAAAATTTAAAATACCTATCTCAGGCCAACAAGATGACTCAGTAGGTAAATCCTGATGACCTGAGTTCAATCATCAGAATCTATATAAAGGTGTAAGGAGGGAACCAATGCAGCAAAGTTGTCCTCTGACCTCCACACTGCACTGTTGTATGTATGTATAATGAGTATGTGTGCAGATAGAAATTTGGGTGCTTGTGGCAGCATTATTTTTAATAGCTAAGTTGTGAAAATGACTCACATCTATTACTAGATCAACGGATAAACAAAATGTGGTATAATCATATAGTGGGCTATTATTCCGCAGTAAAAAGAAAGGAAATATCGATACATGCTACTTGGATAAATCTTAAATGTAAGCTAAATGGGTTTGGAGAATGGCTCATAGAGCACTCATAAGCATGAGGATCTGAGTTCCATCTTTAGAACACATGTAAAAATGCCAGTGAAGAGGGGCATGTAACTCCAGCACTTGGAAAGTAGAGCCAGGAGTCAAACCGTAGTCAAACACCATTGTGCCCAGCCACAAGTGTTAAAATATGGCATGTAGCCATAGAATCTGAAATAATGAATGTATAGAAAGTTTATCTTTACACCATAGATTCCATGGCCTTGTACTTGTTACTGTATGTCTTGTGAAAAACTGCAGAGAGTATGCTGGCATGGTTTCCTCTGTTCCTGAGCTCATAGAGAGGAATCATTTTCCACTCTATTTACATATCTTAAAAGGCAGTATTTAAAGCTGTGTCGATAAATTTTCATGAGGTTTTAAAGTTCTGCTTTTGGTGATTAATTTTTGTTTGTATTTCTAGGACTTTCAGTCAGAAGAAGGCTGCTATTGAAAGAGAGTATGCACAGGTGAGTGTGGGGCTGGTCCCTGTCCTAGGTAACCTGCCTGACTTAGATCAGATCTCCTGTCAAGGAGAACCTTGGAATCCTTTTTGCTGCTTGCCCACTTGTGACTGTCTTCCTTTGGTTCCCTTATTCTACAGATTGGCCTTAAACTTAGAGATCTACCTGCCTTTGTCTCCCTGAATGCTTGGGGTAAAGGTATACCACCATCCAGCTCTTCATTCATTCATTCAGTTTTTAAAGACAAGCTCTGACCATGTTATCCTGACTGATACTAAACTGTCTGTGTAGAGAGCAGCCTGGCTTCCAGCTCACAGAGATATATTTGCCTGCCTCTGTCTCTTGAGTGCTTGGATTAAAGCCATGTGCCCCCCAGACCCTGCCAAAATTCAATTTTTTTAAATCCATTTAAATCTTAAAGTAAGCCTTCATTGTTCCTTATAATAAAGAAGGTCATAGATAAGATTTCTCACTTGAACCTAGGGCTGGCAAAGCTAGTATAGCACCTAGGGCTGGCAAAGCTAGTATAGCTAGGCAGCTTGCTCCAGGGATCCCCTATCTGTACCTCGGAGTGCTGGGATTACAGATGGGCCACATGCTGGCCTCATATTTACATGGGTACTAGGGCTCTGAACTCTAGTACTTAGGATTATGTAGTGCTAATGCTACATAAGTGATGTTGAGCCTAATAAGATTTTATGATTTGTTTTGGTGGTTGTGGTAGGTTAATAAATATAGATATGGGTCAGTTTTCATGGTTGAATCTCCAGTATTGATAATAGATTTTTAAAATTTCCAAAATTATTTCTCTACTTTTTTTTTTTTTTTGCTTTGCCAAAATTTACTACTCTTCTGTAAGTATGAAAGTTTATTACATTGAAATATTTGGCAAAGTTTAAAGAAAAATCAAATTGAATTTGTCTTAATTTAGGTATATACATATATATATGTATGTATGTTTGTTTTGTTTGTTTGAGGCAAGGTTTCTCTGTAGCTTTGGAGCCTGTCCTGTAACTCTCTCTGTAGACCAGGCTGGCATCAATCTCACAGAAATCTGCCTACTTCTGCTCCCTGAATGCTGGGATTAATTATGTGTGCCATCACCGCCTGATTTAAGTTATATATTTGTAATCTAAATATTTTTAAAAGGCATGTGTGTTTAGCTGTTACGTATATAAGGATGCAAAAATTTTAAATTATTTTTATTTTATTTTGGGTGTACCAGTATTTTGCTTTCTTGTGTGTCTGTGTAGTATATGTGTGCCTGGTGTCCATGGAAACAAGAGAGGGCATCAGATCCCCTAGGATTGGAGTTATAAACAGTTAATGAGCCTCCACATGCGTGCTGGGAATCAAACCTGGATCCTCTGTAAGAGCATCCAGTGTTCTTAACCACTGAGCCATTTGTAAACGGAGACCACGTGTTTGTTTCCTGGCTGCCTAGACCCAAATAATAACACAGAAACTATATTAATTACAACACTGCTTGGCCAATAGCTTAGGCATATTTCTAGCTGGCTCTTACATCTTAAATTAGCCCGTTTCTATTAATCCGTGTATCTCCATGAGGCTGTGGCCTACCAGTAAGGTTCCGGCAGCTACATAGTGTCTCCTTTCCCCGCCTATTCTCTCTCTGTTCTGATTTCCTGCCTGGCTTTACTGTGCTAAGCCTAAACAGCTTTATTCATCAACCAACAAAAGCAGCACATACAGAAGGACACCCACATCAGCCATCTCTCTAGCTCCCATGGCATTACCTCTGTCATTGTACTATCTAATGGTCCTTTTTGGGAGGGCCACAATTTCAGCTGTTATTTATTGTTAGTGTATCATCTAAATAGGAAGGCTGGGCTGAGAAGATGGTATAGGGAATCAGTTGCTTGTTGTGATGACCTGAGCTGCTCCTCAGAATCTACAAAGCAGCCAGATGAGGAAGCATGTGTCTATGCTCCCCAGTGCTCCTATAGTGGATGCGAGGTGGAGAGAGAATTCCTGGAAGCACACTGGCATACATGGGCACAAATAAAAAGAGACCATATCTCAAACAAGGTGGAATTTGAGGACTGACAGTGGAGACTTGTCCTTTGACCTCCATATGCACTCCTACACACCTACTCCTACACACAAAAGACAAGTAAGTAAATAAGTAAGCAAGGGACTTCTTGAAGTTTGCAGGCAAATGGATGGAAATAGAAAACACTATCCTGAGTGAGGTAAGCCATACCCAAAAAGAGGAACATGGGATGTACTCACTCATATTTGGTTTCTAGCCATAAATAAAGGACATTGAGCCTATAATTCGGGTTCTTAGAGAAGCTAAATAAGAAGGAGAACCCAAAGAAAATCATATAGGCATCCTCCTGAATATTAACCTTCATCAGGCGATGAAAGGAGACAGAGACAGAGACCCACATTGGAGCACTGGACTGAAATCTCAAGGTCCAAATCAGGAGCAGAAGGAGAGAGAGCACGAGCAAGGAACTCAGGACCGCGAGGGGTGCACCCACACGCTGAGACAATGGGGATGTTCTATCGGGAACTCACCAAGGCCAGCTGGCCTGGGCCTGAAAAAGCCGAGGTTAAAACCGGTCTAGCTGAACATAGCGGACAATGAGGACTACTGAGACCTCAAGAACAATGGCAATGGGTTTTTGATCCTACTGCACGTATTGGCTTTGTGGGAGCCTAGGCAGCTTGGATGCTCACCTTACTAGACCTGGATGGAGGTGGGTGGTCCTTGGACTTCCCACGGGGCAGGGAACCCTGATTGCTCTTGGGGCAGACGAGGGAGGGGGACTTGATTGGAGGAGGGGGAAGGAAAGGGGAGGCGGCGGTGGGGAAGAGACAGAAATCGTTAATAAAAAAAAAGTGAAAAAAATTTATTTATTTATTAGGTATACAATATTCTGTCTGTGTGTATGCCTGCAGGCCAGGAGAGGGCACCAGACCCCATTACAGATGGTTGTGAGCCATCATGTGGTTGCTGGGAATTGAACTCAGAACCTCTGGAAGAGCAGACAATGCTCTTAACCTCTGAGCCATCTCTCCAGCCCCCAGCAAGGTCGTTTTATTTTACTGAAAGAAATGGAGGTTGGTGATGGAGCTCAGAGTACTGCCCATAATGTGCAAGGCTTTGAGTTTGATCTCTAGCACTGAAGGAGAAAGGAAAAAAAGAGGAATTCTAATTTAAATGCTTGAACTTTTTATTTTTTTTATTACTTTACTTGTTTTTTTAAGAAATTATTTAATTTTTTTAGTTTAGCATGCAGAGTAAAGTGTTTCATTTTCATACATATTTATCATTTGTTTCTCTTTCCTAATTTATCAATTTTAGTTCATATCTAAATATATGTTTATGTTTGTGTGTGTGTGTGTGTATGAATGAGACAGATCTCCCTGTTCATTTCTGAAGGGCCTTGACTTTGACATCTGGAGGAGGCTGGCTTCTATATGGAGATCCTCCTGCCTCTGCCTCCCAAGTGCTGGGATTAAAGACACGTGCCATTTCATTGTTTATTGTTATCCTGTTTCATTGTATTTATGTTGTGGTTCTGGGAATTGAACTGGGGCCTCATACCTGCTAGACAAGTGTTCCATCACTTTGCTACATTCTCGGCCTAATGATACACTATTTTAAAATTACATGTTTATTTTAAATCTGTTTTCATTTATTAAGAAAATAGTTACCAAATACTCTTCTAAATACTATGAATATAGCAGTGCTTGCAGAAGGAGTGGTGTGGGCATAGTCCTTGCATTTGCATTCTTTCTGTGAATGTTTGTCGTTCACCAGTCCACTATTCCAAGCCATGAAATGGCTTTATGGTTAAATGGTCATTCTTCAGTGACTCTTAGTGAATTATTACTGGTGATACTGGCATTCTCAGGACCAAAGATTAAGTAGCCAGAAAGATTTGAGCATTCGTGAGATTCAGAGAGCATATAGAAGAATCATTCTAATGGAAAATTATTTTTATAAAGTCAAGTTCTGCCCTGTGGGAGAGAAGAGGCAGGGTCTTTGGGCTTCACTGCTGTTTGATCAATCTTTTGTGAAACCTAATTTATTTTTGCCTCAAACTTTCAAATGAAATGCAAACTGTCAGTCTTTTAAGAAACAGCAGCAGCAGCCAGGTATGCTCATGTTCTGATCTCAGTATGTTTGGAAGCTTTCGATGAGTTTCAGGAGAGTTTGTGCTACAGAGTGAGAAACTTTCCAATCTCTCTCTCTCTGTGTAGTCATTTGAACTTGAGATAGATCATTTGACATCAGTGTGTGTGTGGAGTTCGTTTGAACTTGGGATAGATCTTTTGACAGCAATTTGAAAAATGTTTCCTCAAGCATATACAATATCTGTAACACACCTTTAGGGGAGTGTTAGGAGGAAAAGAGAAATGTTGCAGATTCTCATTACACTTGATGGAATTTGAGTGGTGAAGCCTTTTAGGTTGCATGGCAGTTTCGATTTCCTACAGAAGTATTAATGTTTTACTTTTTAAGCGTGGTTTATGAAGTTCACTTTGTAAGTCTCCAGAAATAGCAGATGACTCGAATGTCTGTTTATAGAGATATAACAGTTTGATCTCTGAAAATAGTAGCCCCAAAAGATCATCAAGTAGCACTAAATCTTAGGGTAAAATCAAGTCTGGCTTGACGATAACTAACCACTGAATTTACAAACTAAACTGAATTTAGTTTGTAAATTCATTTGTATTATTCAAGCTGAAATTCCTGCAGGCAAGCTCTGTGTATTAATGTACTTCCTGTAGTCTTTGGCAGAACGTTGCTAGTGAAGGGAGGGATACAAAGGGTTACTGTGGTTGGAGAGAAAGAACAGGAAAAGATTGTGTACTTTAAGGGCGGTTCCTTACTGAAGGACAAACATAGAATAAACATACTCATGCTGGCAGTTACCCTGTAATATCACCCTGCGACACCTAAAACTTTACTATTTTTATTCTTTTAAGAAATAGACTTACAGACAGTTTGAGCATGGTACTGGAGAATG